TTGAATTTGTTCCTTAGTTCCTTCAGCTTAAGATATGCTGAGCGAGTTCGGCCCTTTTGATTTTCTGACTCCATCTCTTTGTAAATTTCATTATAACACTTTGCACTGTCTTTTTGAGCTGCCTTTCAAGTCTTCTGTTCAGTTCCTTAACTTCCTGATTTATTTTCCTTGCTCTGGCTTCTCTGTGCTCTAGTACAATATTCAGAGTCTCTTCTGACATCCATCCTTACTCTTTTTTTTCTTTCTCTGTCTTTGTAATGATCTTTTGCATTCTTTGTGGATGATATTCTTGGTTATCCTCCCACAGCTCATAGAGTCAAGATCTTATTCTTAATACTAAAGTCTGGTCACTAGAAAACACTGAACAAAACAATTCTCCTCCCTCTAGCCAATAAAGAGCAATAATCACACTTCCTCTCCCCTAAAAACAGAGTGGTTGGTCTAGAGCTTTTCAGAGGGTTATTCCAAAACCTAGAACTGCCCCAGAACAACCAGAGAAGATCAGCTGTGGGCAGGTTCTGACTCAATGGAGCACAACCACCACCATTCATGACTGTGCTTTGTTCAAAACTGTACATCCCAGCTTTCCCTTCTTTAACCTTTGGCTCAGTCCAAGCGTATTCTCGTGTGCAAAGGCTCACACACGTGCATGTGCACACACTGCAGACAAGGTTCCTGGTGTCTGGTAAACAGCCAGCATATGAGTTTTCTCAAAAAGCCACAAATCAAATTATGCAACCAGGTATCATAAAGCTTAAAATGTTTGTGAGTGACAAGGACAGTGGGTAAGTGGGTAAATTTGTCTTAGCCTTTTTTTGTTATGCTTTTTAACCATTTAATAAGAATGAACATTGAAATTGCAGTGAAATGCATGAAAAAAGCTTCATACCATGTCCTATATTCTACTATGATGTGAATGACCATCTAGGACACAACTACTGCTCCTCCTGACAGAGGAGAGAAGAATGAAGAAAATCAAGATAGTGTCCTTGAGGACAGCATCAGTCCACAGGGGGAATAGACTTCATAAACCACAGCCTGGTTGAATGATGAACAGACCACATGAATCATGGCCTGGTTCACAGGATGAACAGACCACATGAACCATGGCCTGGGCACAGGACAAACCACAATCTGATCCACAGGATGAACAGACTGCATGAACCATGGCCTGGTCTGCAGGACAAACAGACCATATGAACCACAGCTTGGTCCATGGGAAGCACATACCAAATGAACCATAAGCTGGTCCATGGGATGAACAGACCACATGAACTATGGCCTAGTACATGGGACAGACAGACCACATTTATCATGGCCTGGTCACAGGACAATCCACAATCTGATCCACATGACAAATAGACTGCATGAACTATAACCTGGTCCAGAAGAGGAATAGATACATGAACCACAGTCTAGTCCATGGGACAAACAGTTTGCACTAACCACAGACTGGTCCACAAGGGGAACAGATCACATGAATCACAGCCTAGTCCACAGGAGGAACAGACTACATGAATCACAGCCTAGTCCACAGAAGAATAGACTACATGAAGCACTGCCTAGTTCATGTGATGAACAGACCACATGAACCACGGCTTGGCCCACAGAGTGAACAGACCACATGAGCCACAGAGTCTGGTCCATGGGAGAAACAGACTACATGAACCACAGCCTGGTCCACAGGAGGAATAGGCTACATGAACCACAGCCGGGTCCACAGGACAAACAGACCATACAAATGACAGCCTAAGCTACAGGATGAACAGACCTTATGAACCACAGCCTAGACTTTCTGCAAACAGATGAGTAAGATGCCCAGCACCATTACCTCTCTGATCTATGGACACAGAATACCTCAGGTAGAATGGGAGGAAAATGTAGAACAATAAATTAAATTTATAAGGAACACATCAGTTACTAGCTTGATAAAATCCTTTAAATTAAGGCCCTTAGATAGCCTTTCAAATGTGGGCCTATATCCCTCCCACGTGATCACCTCTGAGCCAAGGGCAGGTCCACAGAGTGAACAGTAATACTCACTGGAACGTACACTTGAGAACAACGGCCTATATCAGACCAAAAGGCCAGACTTGTTCCCACAACAAGCTCAGAAGGAAGGAAGAAACAGAAAAACAGAATGGACAAACACAGAGGAAGGAGGAGGAAGATTCAACTCTGAAGAAATGGAAACTAACATTACAAAAGATAATGTGTGCAAATTGTTGAATGGGCAACTACTGAATGTACTCTGAAATACCTTCACCTAAATCACAATCAGTACAAAACAGAAAAAAGCAAAGCTCACAAAATTTTAAAACCCAGATGTATTCTCTGTGAGATTCTAGAAAAATTTATAGAGAAAAAGAGAATCACCTTTCATATTTCACAAAAAAATTTAATGGAAATTTTTGAAATATAAAAGTAAACTGAGTAGTGTAATGTGGGTCTATTACTGTCACATTATTTCAATAATTACCAAATTATGGCAAACGTTTTATCTATACTGACATCTAAGCTACCCTCCCAATGTCAGATTACTATAAAGGAAGTTGATGACAATATATAATGATCACATATGATGATCTAGGTAGTCTATATACATTGCTTCTCTTAAGAAGGCATCTCAAGTTTGATCTGGCCTCTTTTAAGGGTTCAAAGATCAACTAGAAACCTTACCCATTGCTGGTGGGATTGTAAAATGGTACAACCAATAAGGAAAAGAGTATGCTGCTCCCTCAAAACACATGAACGGAGCAACCTTATGATCCAGTGTCCTACATTCATGCATACACACAAATACAGAACTCAGAGATCTGACAGAAGCCAGATGCAGATCTACAGTCATTCTAATAGAAAGAAGATGGAGAGAATCCAGGTGTCCACCACTGAAAGAATGAACAAAACACGGTACACAAATACAATGGAGGCACCACACAGACATAAAGAAAAAGTACACCTGAAACTTCTCTTAACAAGAGGACATTCTGACAAATGTCTAGAGGACATTTTGCCAAGAGTCTATCACAAGAATGTATGAACATGGTTATGATCTTAAAAATGGGTACATATACAGAGAAGAACACTCACTGATGATAACAAGCATGGTGGCGGACTCATGCCTGAGAGAGATGTTGTTGTTTGGTGCTGACTCTAAAACAATAGTTTGGAACCCTCCCCTAGCCTGTCCCATTGCCATAGTCTGTGCCTGCCAAGTCCATTGTCAAAGTCACTGAGGCCATTCATCGTGTTGGGGATTTTCTTTTTCTTCTCAGACTCTCTACTTTACCAGGATTGATCTTCATCCAAAGACTCATCCCTCTTGACAACAGGCCCACAGGGTTTGAGATAAATTTCACCATCCTTGACTCTAAGGAACACACTGGACGCACTTTCTCCAAAACAGACTTGTTCTTTTCACAATCCACAAGATATTCAGTACTCTTATCTCTAACACCATAGGTATCAGTTCTTCTCTGATCCTTTTTATTCATTGTCTAACTTTCAGATCCAATGAAAAGATTGTTGCTTGGATGAGACGCACTTTAGTTTTTCCTCTTCAGCACTTTGGAGAGATCTTTGACATATTTTTTCCAATGCAATACATCTTTTGATTCTAGGCTGCTGTTATCTTGCATGCTGACTATGGATCAAAATAAAATGAAATTGTTAATAAGTCCTATGTTTTCTCCAACTACCATGATGTTGCCTAATGGAACAGTGGTGAGGATTTTTCCTTTCTTGATGTTGAGATGTAAACAATATTGAATGCTGTATTCTTGATGTAAACTACTCAAGTACTCCTCACTTCCAGCAAGCAAGGTTGTGTCATCTGTATAACAGAAGTTGTTGGTGAGTCTTCCCCTAATCCTGATGCTACATTTTTCTTCATAAAGTCCAGCTTCTAGAATGATCTGCTCAGCACACAGACTGGAAAGGTTTGGAGAAAGGAGACAACCCCGACATATACCTTTCCTGATTTTCAACTATGCAGTGCTCCCTTGCTCTGTTCAGACAACAGTTTCTTGGTCTAGGTTTTACATGAGCACAATTAAGTGCTCTGGGATTCTCACTCTTCTCAATATAATCTACAATTTGTTATGATCTACATAGCCAAATGCTATTGCACAGGCAATAAAGCACAAATAGACATTGTTCTGTCCCTGTCTGCTCTCAGCCATGATCCATGTGACACAAGAAATGACAGCAGGCACTTGTTATTTTGGGTGTTGGGAAATGTAATACCAGATGGATTAAGTGTGAACTGCCTGTCCAAGGCAAACATATGTCACAAAGACGTATGTAAGAAAAAAGGACCTCTGATAACTGCTGTTACCATACACAGCAGCCTTCAGAGCACAGGGGTTCATCTCTTGTCTGCTGACAGACAGACTAGCAGTTCAAACCTCATTTCCACAGAGGAAATTTTTAGAAGTATCTAAAACTGAGAGCCTTGGAAGCCTGAGGGGGCAGCACTATTCTGTTCCACAGGGTTACTAGGAGTCAGAAATTACTTAAAGTCAATAGGATTCATGCCTTATATAATTTAGCAACAACTACCAAAGAAATACATGTATGTATGTGTGGATGCACTTGTAGGCATATATATGTAGGTATATGAGTAAAATATGTGTGCAAGTATATGCAGAGTCTGCGTGTGAGTGCATGCATGTATATATGAGTGCAAAGCTCATAGGAGGTACAGTTACAGATCTTTCTTAAACATACCAACTCCTCAGGGGACAGGTTTTTCTGCGTGTGGAGACGTAGAAACAGTGACATGGTCCTGCTCTGTCAACTGGCATGATACAGCACAGAGAGCTGACATGCCACAATTGAGGGTGGGGTCTGGGTCTTAAAGGCTGTGAGCAACCATCATAAATATGAACTCTGGTCTCTACATGACGGGAGCCAATGGAGGATGTCAAAGACTCAAGAGACCCACAGCTCCACCTTACGGGGTTAATAAGGTACATCTTACAGGACAGTAAGAGACTTACACATCTGAAAGCTCCACTTGTACACTTTGGGCAGTCGATTACTCGGCTCTTTGAGATCTGGATCTCTGTCTCCATTCTTCCCACACTTTCCTGGAGACTGCATCCTGGCAGGAGATTTGGTGTTGTGAGGCTTTATGCCTGCGGACACTGACTTGACAGGCTGCGTTTTAGTTACACTTTCACCAGCAGAAAGCTCTTCGCTATCACTACTGTTCGCTGAAAGAAAAGCAAGAAATTAAAGCATTAGCGAACACCAGAAAAGTAACAAAGCATTTCCTTTGACACAAGTTGTTGTTGGATAATCTTAAATTAGCCATGCCATTTAAATATACTAAATACCTTCCTTTAGAAACCCTGTCTAGAAGCCTTCAAAACCATCACTACAAATAAAGCAAGCAGCAGTCTAAAAAACAAAGCATACCTGAACTACCAACAGTAACAATTAGAAAATCCCTCAAACCAGGCTTGCCCTCTTCTTGTTAAGACTGCCAGACAAAGAACAACTCTCTATCCTGTCATGTTAACATAATGTGGAGAACACAGTGCCTTTACAATGATTCTTCGATTCATTTCTTCATTTTAATGCTATAAACTGTATATGTATTACGTGCGTGTGATATTTCCCTTTTCCTGTGGCCACAAGCATATGATGGACAATCAAAGCATGTCCAAGAAAAAAATTTGTGGGCTCAACTCTATGTGCACAAGAGTTTCTTACATTATACTCTGCTAAGTAAAATACATAACCAATTTTACTTTTGGAATCATATTTAGCAAATTAAGAATTCAGAAATCTTTATAATAACTTATTACCACACATCTGCCTCTGTGAGCACTAGAACAGAAACATTTGACTTTCACCTTACCATGTGAACAGGTGATAGGATTAGAATTTCCAAAAATTACCTAGTTTCCGGATAAAAAGCATAATTTTAGATTCCAGAAGCATTAATTTATTAAATGATCCTCAATGTTTTACTCATAGTGATGTTTCACACCATGGCCATAAGCACAATAATTAAAGTGAGAGACTAGAATTGATTATTGTTTCTCTAAATGCCTGAATATGTTAATTGACTCAATGAAGAGAAACTCTCTTGGTAAATACCTTAAGTGATATGGTCTTAAGGATAAAAATATCACAGTGTAGTAAAAACCAAATAGTCTATTAGTTACACGAAATAACTGAAGATCCATTTGGAACATATATACTGATTATAACATATAACAACAGCCACCAAGGGAAAAAAAGTCCATTACGACAGTGGCTATCATCTCCTCCCACGGTGGTGTTTTAGAAAGAAAGACACGCCACCACTCCGTCACACCTCTGTCACCTAGACCCCAGCCTCCCTTGATTCTTGAAAACTCCTGGCAAGTCCTGACTAAGCCCACCGAGGCATGGCCCGCTCTGGGCAGAGGTCCGCCAAGGCAGCTGCCACGGCTCCCTGAGCACAGCCGCCCGGGGCCCCAAGGGATGCCATATTCACCGCCTGGAAGTCAAATGGGCTCAGCGGGACCGCGGGAGCTGGCTGAACAGCCCTGTGTGCACCAAAGTGCAGCCAAGCCGGCTGACCGCAAAGCTCAGGCAGTGGAGGTGGCACGGGCTCCTGGAAGAGCAGCAGTAGGTCAGTGCAGGGCACCTGAAAAAAAATTCTCCACATATTTTCTGCTCCTCACTGTGTCTGCAAGAGAGAGACAAATGTGCAGGCCTCAGGAGAAACACAGTCTAGAGCCCCTCTGCAGGCTGGCAAACAGGGTCATCACGAGAGGGAAACCTCGGGTAAGAGCAAATGGTGCCCTCTTAGCACATCAAGGACGTGGCAGGAGGCCAAAGGTGTCTACAAAGGAACCACACACAGTTCCACAAACATCTGGGCTGCTTTTTTCTAGGTAATTTACCCCAAAGAGTTACAGAACATCCATTTCATCGTAACAAAAGGGATTTACAATGGAAGCTTTTAAACATGATACATATACTGGCAAACAAGAAAGAGGAGCAACTGTTTAGACTATATTGGCCACTGTGCAAAGAACAGCCTGCTCATCCACCAGCAGTCAGCACCTCTGCTGTGTTATCGCCACACTGCTTCCTTTACAATTTATACCGAGGATCTGAAAACTACATGACTTTCTTTGAGGGAATAGACAGAACCAATACATTTGACTCTTATTAACCACTTTCCAACCTGAGTATCCAGATAGCCCAGCTCTTGCCATCACATTTTCACAATGGGAGGCCCAACACTTACTGCCTTTGCCCTTCTTCTTGTTGTTCACCACACTCGCTTTATGGCTTCTTTTCTGCTTTTTCGATGAACTTCCTCCACCCTGAGTGTCTTTCCCTCTTTTCTGACCTGTACAGACTGGGAAGGGAAAGTAGATGATTAAAGAATGCAAAAGAAAACCAAATCTTCCCAAGGTATAAATTAGTTTCACATTGTAGAAGCACAGAAATAATAGAGTACAATTTCAAAATTATACATCACATTCCTCATAAGGCTTCTAAAGTATGATAAAAAATGGCTATGGGTATTTTACAATAAATCATCATTAATAGGACTGAATTTTTGTACACAGTAAAGAAGGATTTAAAAAATATCAAAGCATGCCTTAAATAATCAGAAAACAAAAACATTTCTCAATAAAGTACTGGGAGTTTTAGTGTCATATTCCCATACAAACAGGTATATGCTGAAAAGAAAAAGTTTTGTTAACATTTAATAAAAGTATTAATACTTAACTACAGGCTGAAATATTAGTAAATCTTGTGACGATATTAATTTTTAAGGGATAAATTTTAATGGTAATTCACATAAGGTTATTTTACCAGTTCATTTCTTTCCATAGTAACTTGGTTCCTTGGGTAACTGGCGCTGGGTAACATGCAGATACCATACACAAGTCCAGGATGGTAGTTTATCCTCGTGGTGGGAGATTTCGCCAAAGCACTACACATCGATCTCTTTTAAGACTATCTTGAGCCTTCTGTCTTCACTGTGCCCATCTCGGATAACCCAGGCTCTCTGCTCACTAGACACTGCTCTAAACAACAAAATTTATTTGTACTATTCGTGTGATCCATAGTCTCTCCTGTGTTTATGTATTTTTCTAATCATGCGCATTTTTTTTTCAGAGACTAGTAAAATTCAAACCTTGAGTTGCTATAATCAAGGATGCTTTCGGCAGAATGTTAAATGATCCAGGAAGTATTAAAAGAAGATGGAAGGAATATACTGAGTCACTGTATCAAAAGGAATTGGAAGACACAGAAGAATTTAATGAAACAACATATGAGCAAGAGCCTATGGTGATGAAAGAAGAAGTTCAGGCTGCTTTGAAGAAAATGGCAAAAAATAAGGCTCCAGGAATAGATGGTATAACAATTGACATATTTCAGTTAACAGATGCTGCCCTGGATGTGCTCACCAAGTTGTGCCAAGAAATCTGGAAAACGACCACTTGGCCAACTGACTGGAAGAGATCGATATTTGTTCCTATCCCAAAGAAAGGTGACCCAACAGAATGTGGAAACTACAGAACAATCTCACTGATTTCACATGCAAGCAAGATTTTATTGAAGATTATCCAAAAACGACTGGAACAGCACATCAACAGAGAACTACCAGAAGTCCAGGCTGGGTTTAGAAGGGGTCGTGGTACTAGAGATATTGTAGCTGGTGTTAGATGGATCTTGGCTGAAAGCAGGGAATACCAGAATAGAATACCAGCACAGAATACACTATCTGTGTTTCATTGACTATACAAAGGCATTTGACTGTGTAGATCATAACAAACTATGGCTGACTCTGAGAAGAATGGGAATCCCAGAACACTTGATCATTCTAATGTGAAACTTATACTTGGACCAGAAGGCAGTCGTCAGAACAGAGCAAGGGAACACTGCATGGTTCAAAATTGGGAAGGGCGTACGCCAGGGATGCATCCTATCTCCATACCTTTTCAACCTATATGCAGAACAGATTATCCGGGAGGCTGGGCTCTATGAGGAGAAACGTGGGGTCAAGACTGGTGGACAATTTATCAACAACCTGCGTGATGCGGATGACACAACCCTGCTTGCTGAAACTGAAGAGGACCTGAAGCGCCTGCTGCAGAGTGTCAAGGACTGCAGCCTACAATATGAATTGAGGCTCAATGTCAAGAAGACAAAGATTCTCGCCACTGGACCAATTGGCAGCATCAGGATGGATGGTGAAGAGATTGAGATTGTACACAGCTTCAGTTTGCTTGGCTCCATAGTCAACAGTCTTGGCACCAGCAGCCAGGAAATTAAAAGGCGCATTGCCATGGGAAAGTCTGCTGTTAGGGACCTCTCCAAAGTACTGAAGAGCAATGGTGTCTCTCTGGAGACTAAGGTGCATCTGATACAGGCCATGGTCTTCACAATCACTTGTTATGTGTCAAAGAGTTGGACAATGACCAAGGAGGATAGATGGAGAATTTATGTCTTTGAGCTGTGGTGCTGGAGAAGAGTATTGAGAGTATGGACTGCTAGGAAAACAAACAAATTCATTCTGGAAAGGCTTAAACTGGGTGGCTCCTTGGAGGCAAGATTCTGAGGCTCCGTCTAACATACTTTGGACATGTTGTGAGGAGAGACCGGTCCTTGGAGAGGGACATCATGCTTGGGAGGGTGGAGGGACAGCGCAGGAGAGGAAGGCCCTCTATGAGGTGGATTGATTCAGTGACTGGGATAATTGGGATGGGAGTGCCAGAGACAGTGCAATTGGCATAGGACAGAGTGGAGTTTAGGGCTGTTGCACATAGGGTCGCTATGAGTCGCAAGCGACTCAACGGCACATAACAACAAAAACAGTAAAATCTCCATTTGCTCCCAGTGGCAAATGCCACAATAATGCCATATAAATTATTACGATAAAATTTTAACATGTTTATTACCAAAACAATCTAAAGGTTAATTGATTGTTATGAATGCCAAAGTTAACTTTGAGTACCTAACACATGGAGGGACTGTGGTAAAAAATGGACAGGTTATAAATATTCTTCCTCTTGCTACATAGTTACTTCCTATTGAAATGAATCACTTCTTGTTTTTAATTCTTCCTAATGCTATTTTATTGTACCAAATTCAGTGATACACCAAGACAGTGATGTAGTATTGGCCTTATTGACACACAAAATAAAAAATAATCACTAGGTTGCTCATCAACAAATTTCCTTTCATAGAAGTTAGCTTGGAAGGAAAAATGAAATATAAATAGTAAAATACACCTTTTTGTTCACTGTAACGTGTAATCTCCAGTAATAGTAGTACATTTATTAAAGTAAGACCATGCAAAATAGGTTAGTAAGGAACTTATTTCTAGAGAGATGTAATTACTACATTTAACCATATACCTACCCATCACTTACTGACATGGCTGGTTTCACCACTACGCTGCTAGGGAAAATCAGTATTGTACGCACATGGAGGATGACAGGTCACCTCAGCCTTCACCTGTACGTCAATAGCCCACCTAGTCATTTCCCACTCCCCAGGCCATGTCAGGATGGCTCAGCCCACACCATGTCACCCATAGGGCAGGGCTGGCCAGTGAGTCAGGATCAGAGCAGCTGAACAATGACCTTCTCTACTGCATCTTCAGGATGGGTGGCCCTGGCTCATTCCCTCCACAGCCACAAAACATAACTGGCAGGTCTGGGAAGAGCCATGCACACTGCTCTCTGGGTACCCTCACTGGCCTGCACCCAAGCACCCCCGCCACTAGAGGAAGCCATGATTTATGGGCTTCCTCCTGGGCTGTGATGGGCAGGCTTGACCAAGCCCTACTTCTGGCTACTCATTCTGCCCAACTTCTGGGGCACAGCATGCCCTGTCTTCACATTACCCCAGAGAGTGCACAGTTAGCTCAAGCAGGGTCCCAGTGGCCCAAATCAGTCGACAGCCTGTCCTGTCCTGCCCTTGCCATCACTTCTTCTCTAACCTTGGAATAGCTCCATCAGGACATGAGGCGCTGCTACCTGGACCCCAGCCCCTTGTGGGTCCCCATGACCTGCCAGGCAACATGGAGAGTCCAGTCTCAGCCCTGACCAGTGCTCCATCAGCCTGGGGATGCGGCCACGCTACTCTCCTCTCTCGTGTAGTAAAATACTGTGCTGTGTGAACTGCGCAGTGGCTGTTCCAAACCCTGCACTGTACAGTCTCTGGTTAAGGTGGGAAGGATCTATCAATAAACCAAAATGTGTATAAGAAAATGCACACTACAGCAGCAGAAAAGTTACAGAAGTCTGTTCACACCAATTGTGTCATAGAGCTACCCACGGAACCTGGGAGGATGAGTCTGCAAAGGGCCCTGGGCTGGAATTCTGGGGCAGTTTCTAGGATGTGTTCTCAGACACTGAAATGTCACAATGACTCAAGCATAGTACATTCACTTAATCCTTTACATGCATTCCACTGCTCATCATCTGATTACCTTTTCATAGCCATGGACTACATCCATCCAAGCCTGCATGTTCACCCTCATGTGACAAGAGACAGGGCCACATGAGCGTGGCAGCGACCCAGGCATGCGTCTGCCCTCACACTCACCTTTCTCGGGGAGCTCGGCCTCAGGCTGGTGGCTGCTGCTGGAGCTGGCGCTGACATCCCCACCCGTGGGTGAGCTGTTCCCCTCAGAGGGCAGATCGGGGAGCTCGCCTGCCACACTGTCCACCTCAATCGTGCTGTCGGTTTCGCTCTTGATACTTCGAACCTCCTCCTGGTTGGGAGCCAGGCTTTCTGCAATGGTGACGGCGGATGGCTGCTGGCTGGCCTCTGTCACCGTGACAGATGAAGGCGATTCTGGCGTGGTTGGGGGGGTATTGAGCACAGAGTTACTGCCACTGCTGGGGAACTCAGCCTTTCTGTCCCCACTGTCCATGGCTCTGTCCTCAGCAGGTTTGCCCTCGACACTGGCAGCTAGGGGCTTGTCGGGTTCCACACTGGGTGGACTCTGCTCCTCCTCCTCCACTGTCTGCAGTGACTCCGGGGCACCTGTCACCTCCTCTGCGGTCGGGTGGGGTGGAGATGCTGCGGCCTCGGTGTCAGAGTCTGAGAAAAGTTCCTTCAGCGTCTTCTTGGGCCACTGACCCTGAATACTTGACCAGACATCTTTCCGATCTTTAGCTCTGCTGTTTTGAACTCTCTCATCAGAGTTATTTAACAGTTTAATCCTTTTTTCAGCCACCTCTGAAAATCCTGAATAGAAACCAGTTGTCCGTAGAGACTTTCTTTTCTCCTCCAAGCCATTGTATTTCTTAGTTGGGGTCATCTTTGCTTTGGATTTCTCCTCTTCCTCTTCATCTGAGGAGCTGTTGCTGCTGTTTTCGATGCCCAGGGGATCCCTGTTCTTGCCCTTGTCGTCCTTCTTGCTGGGTGACCCCGTTTTCACACATTCATCTGGGCCGCAGCACTTCCTCTTCCCGCGCTTTACTGGTGGCTTTGCAGACTTATCGACCATGTCCTTCCTGACATCCTTTCTCTTCTTAGTAACTCCATCTTCTTCTTCATAATCAGTGTCTTCAGACAACCCTTCGGGATCTTTCGTTAGCCTTTCTGGAGATTCTGACAACGGTTTGGGTATGACCAAATCGGCATGGGCTTTGTTTTCTTCTAGCAAAGAAGACCCATTGTTCTGTTCCTCTTTGGAAAGGAGGTCATTCCTGTTGTGGTCCACATGGTCAGTTTTAGGGTCTCCATGGGCAGTGTCATCGACATCCTGCGTGCTTGTCTCATCCTCCTGCTCACTATCTTCAGCAGAACTCTCAGAAGCTGTAAAACAAGGGGAGAGGAAAAAACGACTTGAGAACACGAGCCACAACTCCGGTGCCACCACCCTCAGCAGCTGGGTCTTGTCTCCATTTTACAGATAAACTACAATCACGCATGAGTAGAGGAACAACTATGGCAAACTTTCAAACAAAAGTCACCTAATTGTAAACAAGAAAGTAGTAAGTTTTGTTATATGCAAATTATACCCTAATAAAACAGATCATGCAAACAAAGCTTCCCAAATTTCTGAGTTGTGTGGTTGGGATGTAATCCCACACTCTCCTTCACAAAACAGCAGATGGACAGACAAGCGGGGAAATATAATTCCAAACAGTTCCAACTCCAAAGTCTATTTTCAATGTGACAATGACAATTTAAGTACATTCTCAATAATGGATTTTTACAGAATTTTTAGAAATGGAGAAAGTATTTCTAGAAATTATTATTTAATTATCAAATTAAATCTGCTGCTAAGAAGCCAAATAAGCAGAAAAGGAAAAGTTTTCTGTTATTTTACAGGAACATTTACCAAGAGTATTACATATTATTGGCTCTGATGGATCACTCATTGATCCTCACAATAACCCTAGGAGGTACGTGTAACTTTAGGTTTGTGTTCAGTTCAGAAACATGACACATAAGGGATTAAAGTGTGCAAGGTCAAAGGGCTAATGAGAGCCAGGCAAGACCCAGGTTTAAGTGACTTGATTTTAGATATTAGAATTTTAAATGCAACACTGTATGAGAAATCAATACATGATCTTTAGAGATGAAGGTTAAGCGGGCTGCCCTCGGCCCCTGGCTCGGGGCGAGCCGTCGCAGCCCTCTGCCCTGGGCGGGCTGCTCTTGGCCCTTGGCTCGGGGTGAGCCGTCGCGGCGCTCAGGGTGAGCTCCTCAGTCCCCAGATTGTGCCATTGTCCCCAGATTGACCCCTGAGTGGGGTAGGAGGGAAAAAAAAGAAAAAAAGAATGCCTAGGGTGTCCAATGTTACCTGGGCCACCTTCTGCCACCCTCACCCCCAGTAAACCTGAAAGCAACACCCTCAAAGCCCTTCTATTTGTAACTCACAAGTTTGTTCTCTCTAGGTTTGCTCCCTTTCCTTTGGGTAACCTTAACTCTGAGTTTTACTCCAGAAATGACCCTGAACCCAGTGCCAGTGACAAAAAGGAAATACAACTGACAGCTAAGGAAGCAAAGGAGGATGGAGCCTCTGGGTTCAACCAGCCATTCCCACTGGACCCACCTGGGAAAACACTTTGCAGTCCAGAGGGGAGCAAATGACAGGAAAATATCTTCTAACAGAGCAAGAAGGCAAGCAGCTTTAACCCAAGACCACCAGTAAGGTGATAAAGCATCCTCCCTTCCCCCCTTTACATCTACGCCCCTGTTCAGCATGAAGAAGCCAGAGAGTTGGCATCCAATTCCCAAACCAATAAGACAGTTGGTTTAATTACCATTGGAAAAATGCTTGTCATTCCTCTGTAGTATCTGGTCCCCTCTGGACCCTCATCATTTCCTTCACCTGCTCCCCCCACAGACCAACCTGTGCAGCTCTGCAACTGCATCCTGGCCCATCCTCAACCTTCTGCCCCCAACCCTCACCTCCTTGTACCCCCAATATATTTTTCCCAATTAAAAAAAAAAGAGATGAAGGTTAAACATGATATCTTGCTAGAAAAGATAAGAACTGTTGTGTATATATTAGGAGTCTTGCTAAAATCAGTACGACTGTAACCATAAGCCAACGTGTTCCCTTTCCTACTCTGCTTAACTGTTAATCCGCAGTCCAGCAACTGAGGCTTACAGCAGCCCTTCAGGACACAGCAGAATGACTCAATAGCACTTCTGAGACAGTCCATCATTACGGAAGCTGGCCGCCACATATGTCTCCCTTGGGGTGACCAGTACTCATCTAACAATCTCCCCTTAGCAACAGGCTACATAAGCTCCTTCCTCAAATGCCAAGACTCCTACTTTTTCTCAACAAAGCACTAGACTGGTACAAGTCTTTTCTTTATATGCCAATTAAGAGACCGGGACACCTCTCTCTCTGGAATCCAACTTTTCTAGAAGAAAAGACCACCCAAGACCTGATATGGAAGAACCTCCTGTAAAACTGAAAGTTGAAGAGAGCTCTGGTGGCCTAGGGGCAAGAAGCTGTATCAGAGCACACAGTTCAAATCCACCAGATGCTCTGCTGGAGAAGGAGGGGCACTCTTCTCCTTTATCAGTCAGATCTGATTTGACAGTACAGATAAAAACACATAACACCCAAAAAACACCAAAACAAAAAAACCCCTGGAAGTTGATAAGTGTCAGCTCAAGATTCTGGATCAGTTTTCAACCACTGCTTGTAATCATGAGAAGAGAGGCAAGAAGAAAAAAATGTTAGCAGGGAAGAAACCAAAACAGTAAACTACACAGGAGCTAAAGATAGAACAGTCTTTGAGTGACAACATTAGTGGGAGCCAGGTAATATATTGCACCAATATTAAATAACAACAGAATGGTAGGAAAAACATGCAGAAATTAAAGAGCTCCTGAAAAGTAAAATATTACAGCTGACAACAAATATTACAGGGCAAAGGGAGAGAATGAAAGAATTAGGAAAAATCCAGTAAGGCCTCGAAAAGGTGGGGGACACGGATCAATGTGATTAATTTTATAAAACACAATGTATGGGAACGATCGTATGAAACAGAAAGTGAATAGAGGAATGTGTGAAGCCCAAGGTATATAAATTTTGTACGTAAACCAATATAAAATAAAAATAATTTAAAAACTCAAATAATTGGATAAATATATTGATATCTTAACAAATAAATACTAGAGCATTCAATTAAAGGACTAACAGACAAAGGTGAGGAAATTATAAGAAACAAGATCATAAGGTATTTAGAGAGAAGCAAATGAAAATAATAATGAGCTACGATCTCATCACAGAGAAAAGAGCCATGCTCCACATGACATGTAGTAACAAGTGCTGGTGATGGAGTGGGGAGGGCAGCAACATCATATGCCACTGAAGGAACTGGAGAGTGGTAAGATCACATTGGAAATCAATGAGGTGCTTTATTAAATGGTGGGGAGCAGAAACATCATTTGATCTAGCAATCCTACAGGCCAGAAAAGATCCCAAAGAGGGAAGTGCTGGACACAAATGGACACATGCACACCTATGTGTACTGCAGCATTATTTCTAATACCAAAGTTGTTGTTGTTGCTGTTGTTATGTGCCGTCGAGTCGCTTGCGACTCATAACGACCCTATGTACAACAGCCCTAAACTCTGCTCTGTCCTGTGCCAATCACACTGTCTCTGACACTCCCATCCCAATTA